CCGGATCCTGCTGCGTTGCTTTGTTCTACCTTAACAAGGACAGATGTCAGACTTACTTGCTTGGAGAGAAGAGTTGTTCTTTGGAAATAAGCAAAGCTGTGTCTAAAACATGCTCGTACACCTGATGGAGCTGCTGGAAAAACCATTCTTTTATTGTGGGAAGCAGTTTGCTCTTTAAAAGAACATTCTGTACCTGATTCAGGTTTTCAAGGTTTTAGAAGTCTTGTTTTGCAGTTGAGCATTTTGACAGCTTTCTTTTCAAGTTTACATTCAGTCTTTAATGGTTGCTATAATTTCACTTTTAAACAGCACGGTTCTTCAAAGTCAACAGTGAAACAGCATCAGCTGAGGTCTGTCTGGTGATCACGAGGGGTTCTCGGTGCCTCATTTCTTCAGCTGTCATTTGTCAGAACACACTCATGTAATCTTAATGAACAATGTGCAAAGCCATTAAAAACTCAATTACGGCTTTCTTTTTACTGCAGACGTGAGAAAATGCAATCATAAAGTGCTGATGTGTAAACACAATAGCCACCATCTGCTACAGAGTAGCATTTCAGCTCCAAAAAGAGGATATATGTTGCAGATGCATCAATAATAGGACGCTTATCAAGGCATCATTATGCACCAAGCAGGGGAAAAATTGAAATTTATGGCCAGCTAGAGAGCACTTCACGGTTTAATTCCCCAATTTTCAGTGGTATGTTTAATAACTATGAGAGAGTGCCGTTTTATGTTCCCGTCGTTTGAACGGATTTTTAAAAATGAATTTATTTACCGTAGTCTTCCCATCCTCCTTGCTTCTGACTGATCTGAACAGAACACATTCATTTTTGGTTATTCGGCACAAAACCAGCAAGATATTAATTAATCTAAGCTGTTGATCCAAGAGCACTAAATTTAATTGACCTGATATTCAGTCTGCTTTAATGAGCGCATACTTCTGTGTCCAATAAATAAAAAAAGAACTTTTACACAGCATAGGTCGTTTTTTTTTCCCCAAAACTCCTTTTTTCAGCTCAGTGTTGACTTTATGACATTTGAACTTCTGGATAGACGAAAACAAAACAACACGGCTAAATTATTTTTCCTACTCTTATTATTTTTTAAAAAATTGGATATGCAATGGTGTGAATAAGCGTTTCTCCAAGATACCTTTTGTTTTATTCAGATTCTTGCGTGGAGACATTTAAATGGCTTTCAGTCATCCATTGATCAGTAACTTTCGTTTGTGACATGTTAATTCATTCCTTAGTTCTTTATATGAGCGGAGAATGTGACAAGTGTTTGTTGGTGTCAGACCAGATTGTATTTCTCTTATTTGCACATATAGGCCTATAAATTGAGAGTAAGTCCCATCAGCTTCAATTCTGTGTTCAGCCTAAAGAAGGCTGTCAGATTCGGAATCACAATGTGTCAATTTCTATTAAGGATAATAAGGAAGACCGCACGTGTTCTTAAAATTTGACTCTGGAATGCTTTTTTTTTTCTGGTGGGAGCAATTTTCCTTGTCTCTCACCTAACTCTAAGGGATGTATCCTTCCCAGACAAGCTTCGCTGGGCATGGACATTTATAATAGGGCAGTGGATCTCAGCTGCTGATCTCAGAGCACACAGAGCAACCTTTTGAAGGTTCGAGAAGTCAGGGGACAAGAGACCCATTCGAGTTCATGCTGAGAAAAAAAATGAACGCGTGTACAGATGGGTGTATTTGGAGGCCAATTTATAGAATACAGGGTATAATTTACAAGTGAATTTTGTAGATCAGTGTATTCTTGTATTTGATGTCAGTCGTAGTCTTGATGAAATTCTTAAGCTTCCAGCCCCGACGATGGCCAGGCTTGAGGTGTGCATGATGCTGGGACTAGCCGGGGTGAGGGTTCGTTGTGGAAGGTGCCCCACTAAGTCTCTGCAGAAGGAATGTGGTATAGTTAGTAGATGACAAACTGATTTAAGCAAGGTGTGAGTACTTTTCTCTGACAGAGATGGCAGTATAAGTGGAAATTTTCCATCTTTTCCACTGTCATGTAAACTAATACCTCTTAACAGGACTTTACTGGAGATAGTTTTTATAGTATTTTCTCCTGTATCTGTAGATATAAAAACAAATTTTAAGCTATAAATAAGAAGCTGTGAATAATTTGCATATGACAATTGTCTGTAAGGCTATTCTTTTAGTAACTAAGACTAATTATTTTGCCAAGTGCTTTTTGGTGGATGGATATTTTACTTGCTCATGTTGTCAATCGCTAGATTCAGGCTCCATACTCCCTCTAGAGTTGTCAGCAGTTGCACAAAAGGCCATTGTCATACTGCAAATAGCTTGTGATTCATTTTTTTGTGGGTGGCAGAAAATAAAATTGTCATTATTGCTTTGAACTTTTTATAAAAGCTGATGGTTTTTCTTTTCTCAGAGGAAAGCTTGTTATTTTTATACAGGAATCTGTAAAAGTGAAATATTCCCTAACTACTTCTATCCTTGAAACACTTACCTACCCCAGTGCAGTTCAAGACTGTATTGTGTTAGACAGAGTACAGCTTCAGAGTAGTTCTTTAGGGTAGGAATCTATGTATTATTCAAATTTAAAAAAAGAAAAGTTGAGAAAGGTGCCCAGAAATGATGTGCCCTGGGATCCACGCACCAGTGATGGTGCAAAAATCGGATTTCCTGGGTTCTTACCCAGTGTAGCAGGCACTTGGTCAGAACTCTTGGGCATGCACAGGAGTTCTGCTTTTCTTTACCGAGTGGTTTAATTGACTGTACTGTCGTCCTCAAGTCTGAGATCTGGAAGTGTAGAACTTGTCTTCATTGTATCTTGTCCTGTCCCTCAGGATGTCACTGAAATGCTGCAGCAGTGCGTTCCCCAGCAGCCCCGCGACTCCTCTACACTATACTACTGTTACTCAGCAGTTTCACAGTGGCTTTCCTCCCAGATTCTCAGTAGAAGAGTGGTTCTTAGGACTGTTCATGCTTTATTTGTAAAGGAAGATGAGGCAGACTGTGTACTGACAGAAATCGTAAGAAGTGAGTGTCATAATTAGTCCTGGAAAACCAGGCTGTCGGGTTTCCAGCCTGCCACCGTGACTGTCAGGCTGTGCTGCCTCTTCAAGCCGGTTGGCAATTGTGCTTCCTGATAATAAATTATCTTAGGTCACAGAAACAGAATCCAAATTGCAGTTTCTCAGAACATTAGTTTATTTGGGTAGATTTTTAATAATAATGTGTACATGATACTCACTGAAGAAGGGGATTTTGTGGTTGACTGGGAGCAGACATAGATCAACATCTGTCAGGATCCCATCCTGTGGACTTTGATTATTAGGGAGAAATTGAAAAGTTTGTGTTCAGCTCTTATTTTTGCTAAAGTCCTTACTGTGAATCTGGAATTTCTTGATTTGAAATGATAGGATAGGATTGCCAGAAAGCATCTTGCTTATAAATTTTCATATTTCTTAGTACAGCCTCTTCCCTGGCTGCGCTTGCATTGTGCTTGAATTTTCCAAGGTCTAGAGTGGGTGCTTTTTTTTTTTTTTTTTGAAAGATTGACTTCTTTCTGCATCTGTGCTTTTCAATCCTTTACAAAATGCATATATATCATATAAACACAGGGGAAAAAACATTTCTGTGGGAGAAAGTTGCTGGTATCTCGGTGATATAAATTTAGAATATATGGCTGTTCACTGCACAGAATTGATCAAAATGTTTATCTGGCTCATCTGAGTGTCACGCTGCTACGGCATGGAATAGGGAAAGTCAATGGGTTAGAAGTGAGGCAGGGCTTTGCAAACTCAATCTTCTGTGAACTGCGAGAGGCCAGCAGAGAAATACATTTGTAGCGTGCCTTGGCAGCAGCATCAGAACCGAGAGTGTCAAGAGGGCTCCGTTTGATTAAAAATTATCATGCCTGGCTGCTGACACACAGATATTCCCCCCTTCCCCCTCTACTCTTGGTATATTCTTCAGCTTTTTCTGAGTGTGAGTGTCTGTACACACATAAAGGAGATCCTTTAAGCAGAATTGAATCAAATAACTCTCATAATGTTTTCCCTTATTGCTAACATTTGTCACCTTGATGCATCTGCGAAGAGATGAGTCGAGACACAATGTGCTGTAAAATAACTGCTTGATGAATCAAAATGTGAGTTCAACATCAAGTGCCGTGGTTAATATGGTGCAAGCTTCCAGGTTAACAAACTCATAAATTGCCTCAGTATGTATTTCCCTCCCTAAATTCAGCCCGTCCTTCCCTCTTAGAAGAATAATTGTCCTTGTTGCATTATTTCTAGTTCAGATGTTGCTGTTATGCTAACAAGCCTAATTCATTCCGGCTCTGAAAATTGGGCTTTTCTTAACACATTACTACCTTCACAAGTTTATAGTGCCAAGGTGCAGGGTTCACAGCTGGTAGATGGGCCCAAAGTGGGTAGGCGCCACACAGGCAAACATCAGCTGAGAATTTGGTCCTTTGTTGTAGTTTTGGTATTGAGATGTGCCTTTGGGGGACTGTACACAGTGGAACTTCATTGCTGCTTTGAAGTGTGAATATGCTTTTGTTTAAAGTGATTGTTTTACCACAAGGTTATAATAAAACCAAAATAATATTTTTATTTTGAGTTTTTAAGTTATCTAATTAAAGTGGTTCCAGTTGGTCCCAAATCTATTTGTGTATCAATACTTAGAAATACTTAAAGCGTGGGTGCCAGGTCCTGGGCAACTGCTGGAGGTGCCCCTGCTCTGGCAGGGGGTTGGACTGGGTGAGCTCCAGAGGGCCCTTCCCACCCCCACCAGTCTGGGATTCTGTATATACCCTGCAATTTTAATATCTTTTCATTCTGTTACCTACCAACTAGCATAAAATGGCTAGTTTGAGTTCTTCAGATGAATGTTTTGGTTTCTGGCTTGTAAGGAAATCATTGACTTTCCTAATGGAACTGTTTTTACCAAAAAAAAACACAGGCAAAACTAGTCTTTCTTCTTCTCTTTTTGCTTTTCTCTGTAGGCTCCTTCATGATGGTGAACAGCTCTGGGCGGGCGTCTGGGCAGAAGGCTCACCTGCTGTTGCCTACGCTGAAGGAAAATGACACACATTGCATCGACTTCCACTATTACTTATCCAGCAGAGACCGGTCGAGTCCCGGCTCTCTCAACGTCTACGTGAAGGTGAACGGAGGACCACAGGGCAATCCCATATGGAACGTCTCGGGGGTTGTTACAGAAGGATGGGTGAAAGCAGAACTTGCCATCAGTACATTCTGGCCACATTTTTATCAGGTATGAGTTTGTAATATTTTTCTTTTTTTTTTTTTTTTTCCTTTGAACATTTGGCTAGATATGAGCTAAGCTATTGTTAGCAATGGGTATCTTGACTTTTTCCTATCAGAATGAATTTATATATAGCATTTTCTTGCAAAAGGGTTATATAGGCATCTTCACATATTTCTTCCTGCTTCACCCTTTTTCTTCAGTTGTTGCCAGGTCGCAGAGCGATGGATAGACAGCTGGGAGTCAAATTATTGGCAGGTTAAGACCCACTTATCATGAGAGCAGCAGATAAACAGACTCTTATTGACACTTGCTATGGCGCCGTGTAAGTGTAGATACAACTGAGTGTCTAGATGTGTAACTGGACCTTTGCATAAGTTTGCCTAAACTATTTTTTGCCGTTGGTTGGTTCCATAAGGAGGAACATCTGTTCACTGACCTTTGCATCTGGACTTTTCCTGTGCCCATATGAGGGGTGGAAGTTCATAAGCTACTAATGAAATCTTGTGCCATGTTATCAACATGACTGTACTCTTCACCAAACCCTCCATTCCTCTTCTTTTTAGCACTGCTTGTAACATAGTTTTACTTGTTTTGTTAGGGGATGGAATGAAGTGGGTAAGTTGCTTTTAGGTTATATTAATTTTGCAGCTACTTGTTAGTTGTCCACTTGAAACTTCATGTGGCAACTTTGCAGTTATTTAGTTAGATAAGATTGCACACAATGGACTGGCATACGTCTTGGTAGGTGTTTTTGTCTTGTTTTATGTTCAAGACAAAAAAAAAAAGCCTGGGAAGTAATTGCACCCTAAACCTTTCAGGAAAAGCTGATGTATGTATGATACCAATAGTGAAAAGGCAGTGAATAGTCTGTGGATAGAAAACAGCAGCTAGAAAAGCTGCTTTTTTTTTTTTTCTTTTTTTTGCTTCTAATAACTGGGTAGGAGGGCTATAAAATGTGAGCTGGAGTAGAATGCTTTAATGTTCTACCTCTGAAAAAGCTGGGGATATCAGCAGAATACATAGAGCACACTATGCAGGGTGAGAGGAAGAGATAAAGAGATGCAAATGCGTGGAAAGTGGCGTTTTAAGGGCCGTGCGCAACTTGTCACTTGTTCTGAAGTCATATTAAAGTGCTTATGCTCCATTCATATTAACAGGAACCTGGTCATGAACCAGAATTTGCTTCATAGTAGGTGCTCCACAGAGATAACAGAAATGATCTTTCACCCAGATAATCAGTGCTTGAAAAACCTGGAAAAGACAGTCTGATCTCACACTAAGAGAGATCCTACTCTTAGATATACCAATAGTCGACTTCCTGAGCCTGCCTGCCTTCTTTTACAAGTCCTTATGCAGGTCAAGTTTGCTTTTCCTGAGCAAAAAATCCTTTAAATCAAACAAGAATCTTTCACTGCAGCTCAAAAATGAACAGATTGGAAGGCAGCACTAACTGCCTAGGAGTAGCTGCTTCCTGGAAAATGCGAGGGTTTCCTTTTTTACTTTTTGATTTACTTTTTGATTTCTGCTTAATTTTATATTCTTATTCCCACTCATATGGAGGATCTAATAGATTGATCTATCATCAGTCCCTGATTCTATAAACCGTCTTCTGTTGTTGGTCTGCAATCCTGTGAGTTTCTACGTTTAATCATGAGGTTTTGTGTTGTTTTTTTTTTAAAAAAAAAAAAAAAGGAAAAGAAAGCTTTAAGCTTGCAAAACTGAAAAGGAAAACACATTGAAGGACTTAGTGAACATTATTGTTATTTGGCAGCCTAAAGTAACACTTCTGGCTAAAGGAGGCCAGAGGTGGAAGACGACAAAAGCTTGGGTGTACTGTTGCCTAAGGACTGTCTCATTTCACACTCACAATCTCGGATGTGCCATCGCAGTGTTATTTGTCAGCTTTAAATCAAAATTGCATGTCTGGAGAACTCTTTGTACGCAAGAGGCCTGAAAGCATGGTCTGTATTTCAAAAGCGCCAGGTAACACAGGAAAAAACAGCATTTTTCCTAAATAATGAAATCTGCGTCAGGCAAAATGTGGATTATTCTCTCCATGCACAGAAAGCACACCATCTTGAATGGCAGTGTGCGCTGACAAGTCAGCCAGGCAAAAAAATCTGCAACTATCTGCCCTAGGTCTGAGGCGTTGACAAGTGCTTTGAGCGTTGGAGATGTGACTAGTGGAAAACCAGTAACCCAGCCAGCTGCCAGAGGTGCGTTAGGTCTGGCAGTTGTGTGCAAGGGTCATAAGGGTCTTCTGGATCCAGAAGCACTCTGATACCAGAGATCTAAACGGGGGGGTGGTGGAGATTTATATCTACCCTAGAGTTACTCGTACTTGGATTCCCAGCCTGCAAATGTTTTTAGTGTAGCGAGAAAAAGCTGTAATAGTTCTTGGAGAAAGGTAATGCACGTAATCTTGAATTACTGCTTGCCATAAGGATGAACTTAGTCCCAGAATGCACCAAGGGCAGCGCTGGAGTCTGCCAGGAAGAGGTTTTTTGATGTATAGCAAGGAACGTTATTGATCCGTGCCTGAAGAGAACTGTTGTACCACAACAGATGAGCCAGGCTACCTTGCTAACACAGATATTGTTGGTATATAGCTGCAGTGAAATGTAGGATTGTTTATTGGCAAGGAAACATGAAATGGCTTAGTATTTGCAGTTCCTCAGGAGCATTTAAGAATGTTTTTTAATAGTAAAGCTTTGCATTTTGTCACCTATATTAATTTCTGGGACGTTCCTTAAATGTAAAACATTAAGTGGCAATGTTTCAACCATTGTACTGTATTTCTGACAGAAGTTAAAAGGACATGAGAGCGATTCAGTGTGAAATTTGCAGAACTGGGCCCCATAAGCGTGGATTCCTGCCTTTTCCTCATGTTGGGTCTCAAATCCCTGTTTTCAGGACAACCTCGGTGCTTCTCGTTTTGATAGGGCTGAGATGCTGCAAAATAGAGAAAGAGACAACAATGTGGAAGTTTAAGCTGGGAAATAACAAGAATATCTGAATGTAAAGCAGAACAGATAAATAACAGATAACATAATAAAATAAGAAGTGAGTTGAGAGGAAACCACCACTCTTTACAGTGTTCTCTGCACCAATGTGAACGTTAAATGCATGGATTTTTTAGAAGCTGACACGGTTATTACTGTCTTAAGTTACATTGTGCTATATTAAAAGCTCTGTACGTGTCGGTAATTAACAGAAGACAATTCTTGATGTATTGGTGCTTACTTTTGCCGTGCGCTACTGGCTAATGGCAGTGCCTTGGAGGACTTTTCTTCCCCAGTTCTTGGCTTGCTGGAAATTGAGAATTGGTTCATTGTGGCTCTATAGCTTCTTGCAAATGCGAAACTACAATAATATTCTGTAGCTGTAACATTGCATTTTAATTCAGATCTGAAGGGAGTTGCGGTAGTTGCTTACGTGACCTTCCCTGTAAGTGTAATTTTTATCATGAATGACGTTTCTAAAATAAATTGTAATTTCCGTACTAAAGACTTAACATTATACTCTTACTTTATACAGTCCCCAAAATGCCTATCAAGAACCTTGGTAACACAAAACACTTGTTGAGGGTTTTATTTGATTCTTTTATCTTCAGAGACTTGCTTCCTCCTATTGCTCTTTGGACAACCTATTTTTTTCTCCACCCTCCTCTGGAGTATAACTTTGTTTCTACGTGTAATTAGCACTTTTCTTAGTTTATATCTTTGCCAGTTAATTTTTGTGTTCTACCTGTTTTTATCATGTCTTTTTTCCAGTGGACATATTTCAGAAGATCTCACATTTGGATGTGTTTTGAATTGGGGGAGCAGGCTGTAGGAAATCGTGGAAAAATGAGTAAAAAATCGGTTTTGGAAGCACAATTTTGGAAGCAAAATGGTTAACGGCAATTCTGTCCTTATGAAGTACGCACAGGTCTACTTTCGTAGCCTGGGCGTGCAGTGATCAGCATTCGGACACTTGAATCTTTTACTGCCTTGAGTCTGCTGATGGAGGAGATGAAGCAGAGGCGAAGCAGTGACAGGCTGGCACTATCAGCTTTCATTTAGACTGGAAATAAGCGCTGAAAACTGGCTTTAAGTAATTAACTTTGTGTTCTAGTAGTGGATTTTAGAGGTCACAAATTACTGAAGTACTTCCTCCTACGAAACAAGTAGCTGCACTGGAATACTGCTCTAATAGTAATAACTGTGCCAGCTACACATGTTAATTAACTCTGTCCTTGAAAACATTACTGTATACTCATGCAAAAATGAGCAATGTAGTACAGTGTGAACATTGCCTTAGTGAGAGGGAAAGAAACCACGGACATCCCTTTCAAATGCAGAGGGCGGCATCCATTACAGCTCTACCCATTCTTTTTTTAATTTTTTTTTAATAGTAAAGGATAGCACTTCATTTCTTTGGGAACCGAATCGCTAACTTGAGAGGTGGAATTGCTAAGATGTTAAATAATCAGTCTTCATTCTTTTTCTATTTTTCTTTTTTCTATTGCAGTTTAACATTCCCACATTTCCTGTTCCTCATGTCCTACTATCCTTTAATTGTTGGGGAAATGGCACCGTATTTATTTTAGTTAGCTTATTTTGGTTGTCGTTAACTTAGTTTTAATGATCTCTTTATCAGTTTTTTAGTGACATTTTTCCCTCACCACCAATTTTCAGATAGCTGGTGTATTTTTAGTAACAGAATACTCCAGATCGGGGCAGTTTTCCAGGTAAAATCACAAAGACATAGGGAAGAATGACGTTTTTGTTCATCTGTAACTAAATGTCTATTCAAACACAAGTTAGTGGAATACTTTCATTGTCCAGATACATAAATAAAATAGAAAGCGTTAGTGTACCATTAATGTAGAGAAATACTACATGTAATTTTTAAGAATATTCATTCTCAGCCTCTGTTTGTTAAATCAGGGAAAGGCAGAAATTATATCTGGGATAATCTTATTCCGGTCCACTAACTAGAATCCAGGATCATCCGTTGCTCATAATTTGCTTTCTAATACTGCAGTGGCATGCACGCCAAATCAAGGTTTTCTCCAAAACAATCCTTGCAGGGTTATTGATTCAAGAAAATAATTTTCTCTCACGTACAACATTTCCCAACTTTTCAATGCATACTAAGAACAAAATGTCAAGTGATTATCCACTTAATGTTCTTGGACTGGTGCTTAAAGTGAATATAAGCGTGGCTTTTTGCTTTTCCAAATGGAAGAAGCACACAGTTGTCTCTAATCCTAATGAACGTTGCACTAACTTTTTGTTTTCCGTATCAAACAGCTTTTCAGTCCTTGGTATGCATGTATGTACTGGATTGCATTGGTATCGCTTCAGTATTAATGGTGAAATGCATTGAATGACTCGGACATTGGAATAAGAGCAGAATATGGTTGTCTGGCCAAATCACTGGTGTGTAGCTATTCTTAAGAACACTTTTTCTTATTTTGTATTTCAGGTGATATTTGAATCTGTCTCTTTGAAAGGACATCCAGGGTACATAGCTGTGGATGAAGTCAGAGTTCTCGCCCATCCGTGCAGTGAGTGCTCTTTGTTTTTCTAACTGTCTGTTACATACCAGGCTTTGCAGTCTAAAGGAGTGATTTACCCAATTTGGTCAGCGCTGAAATGTCTTCTTGTAGCCCTCTGAGACACCTAAAGACAATCAGCCTTGCATAATTACATAACTTTGCAAGCCGTGCCAAAGGCAAAACTGCTCTCGATCTATAGGTAGGGCTGGGACTTCTGTGGCAGTCTCTCCCTCTCTTGTTATGAGAGCATAAAACTGATTGGTTTATTATTTCTGAATCATATTGCTGTAGAAAACAATCTAAAGAGCTTCTGATAATATCCTGTGTGGTTATCTTAAGAAAAGAAGAAACTAACAGTATTTTGTTGGTAAAGGACATATCCCAAAGGTTGCTCGCTCTCAAGAAATGTTAAACCCAGCCAGCATTGCCATAAAGATATTGAAAATAAATCTCATTCAGACAATACACTTGCACAGGAGTGGAAAATAATGCAGGTTCGTTATGCTGGTCAAAAATACTAGTGCCGCATTTCTTCTATCGCAGCCATAATAATGAGCTTAGATTTTGGGGTTTTTTGGTTTGTTTGTGTTTTTTTTTTTTTTTTTTTTCTATATAAAGAAGCCTTGAGCCTCATTCTTTTTGTGAACTTTTCTGGTTTCTCTGTGCATTTACAGTTCGACTTGAGGTCTTTAGTGTGTCTGTAGTGTGTACGTAGTATACAGTTTCTTCAAGATTTTTTTTTTTGTTTTCCACATCCCCTCTCACTAGTTCATAGTTTCAGTCGGTCAGTGACATCTGCTCCAAAAAAAAATCATGGGTTGTATTCATGGAGTGAAATCAACTGGTTTTCTTGCAATACAGAATTTCAAAGGATAGCTGCCATTCAATGTGACAGACACGGTTCTGCTCAAGTTTAACAGGACATTTCTGATGTATGGTTAATTGCTGTTTAACTAAATTATATTTGTATTTACCATGTGCTCATTGCTCAGGCCTTTGGGTGCGTTTACTTCGTTAAGAAATACTTACAATCTGTATTAACCAGATGTTGCTGATAACTGGCAGCATCCAAACAAATCCCCCAAATGGTCCGTGCTCATTCCACAGCACATTGGGTGATGACTGATCCCTTTACTAGGAAGGAGGCCACTGAACATCCATGGGGCAAAGCCTAGACAAGGAAATTATGTGATTTAAAAAAAAAAGGGACAAGATGCTGTGTTTACACCCCTATTTAAACTGATTTTAAATCCATTTCTCCAAGTATATGCAGGTCCCTCTTCAAAATTAAGTGCATTCTTGGTGACTCAAAACTGTAGAGTTTATTACTATAGAGTTAACTACTCCCTTGTGAATCAGTTCGCATCCTGCTGCGTACAGAACTTCATTACAAGATGCAGGTTCTCTGCTGGCTTTGTAAATGCTTCTCCGGTCTGATTGCCGGTGTTGCTTGTGTTGTTCAGCAATGACAGTCACCAGGGTAAATGTCACCAGAGTATACGTCATTGACTTGTACAGGCATTTTCCTCATACTCATTTTACAATTGTTATAACTCAAAACACACAGACCATGAAGCTCCTGATGACCTTGGAGGTTACTGAAATTATTGGTGTTACTTTTTCATTTCTGCTTTACCTTCATAGAAGGCAGTACAGCAGACAAACCTAAGTATCAGCAAAAATGCTGATTTTTTTGTTTTGTTTTCCTGTGAAGGAATGCACTTGGAGTATCAATTCATTATGCTAAAAGCTCATTGATTATGTGTGTGAGAGCACTTGCAATCGGAGGACAGCCCTATGCCCTGTGGGTTGGGCAGACTTGAGGACTAGGAGTTTGAGGCTGGTGTGGCCACTCTCACCCAGGCTACGCAGCTTTGGAGCTGGCTTATACCTCCCCACCTCTGACTGCAGGCAGAAATGACTAATATTAGCCTGCAAATATCACATAGCACATTCTGACTGTCACCCAGAGGTAGTTTTCCAGTAAACTTTGATGGAAATTACTGATCCCCAGAAGGCATGGTGGTATGGAATCATTTTATTTCAGTCAGCAAACTGAGCATGTGGTAAACGGATACAGAAACTAAATAAAAGCATTTGGCATAGTGTATAGTCATTTGTTCTTATGTCTATAGTAGACAAATACCTCTATGTGAAACTTCGTGCGCACCCAGACACAGATGCCCATATCCTTTTGAAGCTATTTAATTCCCATAGAAAAAGGTGGGTTGGTATGTCCACTGAAATTATGCATTTCATCGGTGCCTAATCGTAAGAGAAATGTACAGATTAAGTTGAAAAACTCTGACCCTTAGAGTCTCAGAGCTGTTCAGTGTGTCCAACCAAAAGTTTTCATATGGTGCACAAACCTGTCCTGATTGACACACCTGATCTCCTTCTATGAGAAGGCGAAGAAAAATGTCTTTACAGGAAGGGCTGTCAAGCACTGGACCAGTCTGCCCAGGGAAGTGGTGGAGTCACCATCCCTGGAGGTATTTAAAAGATGGGCAGACGTGGTGCTGAGGGACATGGGTTAGTGGTGGTTTGGGCAGTGTTAGGCTGATGGTTGGACTCGATGATCTTAAAGGTCCCTTCCAACCTAGACAGTTCAATGATTCTGAAGCCCAGCAAGAGCTAAGTTCATTTAAAAGTGTCAGATTCACTTCTGTAACCTTTTTCTTTTCTTCCAACTCACAGAGGTAAATGTGACTGGTATTTAGTCAAAAAAGATAATCCTCTGATCTGTTTCCCTTGTGAACAAATGCAATGTCAGCATTTTAGTATCAGTGGTTTAATATTGAACTAACACTGAATTTAGTATCAACAAAACACTGATATCAGTGCTCTTAAACTAATGCAGTGATACAATACTATATATGAATATTTTATTTAAAATCACTGATGATATTAATGATAAATTATTATTTTAAAGCTCTAGGATATATCTGATAGTAGATAAACTGAAAAGGAAAAAAAGACCCTTATGAAAACTTGGTTTGGGTCAGACACGCTTGATAAGCTCAGAAGCATCCGATTCTTTTATTTGATCCTTTTTAGAAACACAATTTTATAAAGAAAAGAAATTACTCAAGTACTCTTCGTAGCGAACAGTAAGAAATTGTGCTGACGACCATGAACTTGTGTTGTGATCTGATGTAAGTCTGTGTTCTCAGATGTGCCAGAGCTCTGTATGGTCCCGTAGCCCGTCCTCTGTCAGGTCCATCATCCACCTCACTCTGCAGTGAATAGTTGAATACTGAAGGACAGCTTAATTTTGCTAGATCGCCTTGTCAGGGATAGGACGTAATCCTTTGCTGAGCGTTTCGATCTGTATTGGTGTAACAGCCAATTACTGCCTTGCTCTACCCTTGCAATCCTTTCCATCTTTTGTTAGGAAAAGCACCTCACTTCCTACGACTTCAGAATGTGGAGGTTAATGTGGGACAGAACGCGACATTCCAGTGCATCGCTGGGGGGAAGTGGTCGCAGCATGACAAACTCTGGCTTCAGGTAAAGTGATGTGCTTTTTTCCATGGTGTGTGTTTGTTTGTTTGTTTTTGGTTTTGTTTTTTTTTTCTTTTTTTACTTTTTTTAGTAAAATAAGTCTATAGAGAAAGACTAGGTGGTGGGGCAAAATCTTTTCATCAAGATCCTTTGAGAACTGGCTTGAATTGTTTCTAGGTGAGATTTTAAGGTGACAAAGTATAGAACTGTGATACAGAAGATGGAAAAAATGGCCAGTGACAGCAAAATTTTGGGTTCAAACAAATGCCCGTGCACCTGTAAGCACTCAGTCATTAAGCAGAAGAGACCAAACAGGTGGAGTAGTTCTTCACTTTTGCTTCATTACACAATCTTCTTTCCTGTCATCCTCCAAAAATGTCGTCACCCTCCAAAAATGTCCTCAGCCCCCAGAGTCAGTAATTATGTGTTAAGAAGGAACCTACTCTAAGGTCTGAGATTACTACCTGGATAGTGAAAACATCCCAAACCAGTTTGTACTCACCATGTTTCTTCCTCCCTATTTCCCTTGGCTGCACTGATAGCAGAATGTTCCTTTTAGTCGCTCACTAAAAGACCAAAGCATTCGCCTTGCTTAATATCTATGTTTTCACCCTCCTGGTTGGACTTGAAAGACTGAGTCGTGCTATTCAGGTGGGTACAGTAACAACCTTAAAAACTTATTTTTCAGGTCTAGCGTTAGAAGCGGAACATATATCAAACTGAAGATGTGGAGTGCAGTTTCCTAGTGAAGGACAAAATTATTTCTTCTGCCCTTTAAAGTGCTCAGATATGTGGAGTCCCAACATTACCATGCTCTATAGGTAGAGCTCTTCTAGAAGCTTTTAAAATAGTTGAGCTCTTTGCTTTTGCTAAACTTCTGTGCTGTTAAACACCTAATGTCCCAAACAAGTCAAGAGGATTCTTTTGCTGTGTGCGTTGTGCACATACATCGGGCCAACATAAACTTCCAGAACTCTTAAGCTGGTCAACAATGTTTATTTGTAGCTTGGACTGATGTGACTGCGGGTCTCACCGCCCCATATTTGTAACATCTGAGGCAGACAAGAATGGCCTTGGTTGTGGTTGCTATGGCAGTGTAGTCAAATAACTAACAGATTTTCTCAGACTTTTATATTGACTTTGAGACGTTTTAATAAAATTTAAAAATAACAATTTCAAATCTAGTTTAAATTCTATGGAAGGAATCAATTTACCTAATCATAAAAATGAAATGTAGCACTGGGATAAAGGCTTGATTGGTGAGAAATGTAGTTGGCATCATGTGAAAGTGACTGTTAAGTCACTTTAACTGTACTCTCATCACGGCTGTTCTCCTAAAAATTACATTTGTATCTGAAATTTATTAACCTATGATGTACTTTTAGCATCCACTGAGATATATTTTTGGTGTATTCTTTATCTTTTTTGGGTTCTTTCAGTGAAATCTTTCCACAGTTATGACTAGATGTGTGTAAAAACACTTCTGACCTGAAGCAGTATGAAGCTTTTCCTGTGAGAACCAGGGGTTTGGGAGGAAATCGTTATTGTTGCTACTGGAAACCTGTTTTCCATTTTCTAAAATTGAAACATTTAATGAAAAATAGCCTTGGAAACACTCCTAAAAACTGATTACTGGAAGTCGGCAAAACAGCAGTGTGTTTTCCTTCGAATCTCCTAATAAACTAGACCAACTGAGCAAGTTCAGGTGTTTATGCTGTGGAGAACTTCTGTGTCTAGCTAATTCTTCATCTGTCCGTTTTCCAGTTGGGAAAATGTAGTCTGACTGGTAGAGAGGTTATTGAGGATTGTTGGACATATAAGGATGTCTGTTCATCCGACCAATTTATTTAAATTGGTCCCGAATCAAAGTTTTACATCTGAAAATGCCAAGTTTATAAAATTTGTTCGTTTGTAGCATTTTCCCAGGTGTACAAAATCCATTCATTTGTAGTATTTTCATGTCCTAGCCAGGCCTCTAAATATATATACTGTGTAGAATTGCGTATCTGAACTGTCACTCTCCAACCTTCTCAATACATATAACACATCAAATGCCCAAATTTTTAAAAAATTAAATAGACATGAAAACTTGGCTATATGTGTAAGAATATTTAAGCCCTAGTTCATACAACCCTGTAAATTTGTCAGGGGTATGGCTATAGCAGTCTTCTCTTGAAAAATTGTGCTTGTATAAAATCTAACCTAGTGACGTGAATGTGAAGATCTGAACAATAAGAAGCATAACAAAGAATGAATTGCATGTGGATGCGTAATCTGTGTGTCTTCATACCTTGCATTATTCTTGTCTGCCTTTACAGCAGTGGAATGGAAGGGACACGGCATTAATGGTCACTCGAGTGGTCAACCATAGACGTTTTTCTGCTACTGTCAGTGTAGCTGACACCTCTCAACGCAGTATCAGCAAGTACCGATGCGTCATTCGTTCAGATGGTGGATCTGGAGTTTCGAATTACGCAGAATTAATAGTGAAAGGTAGGTTGCACTAAAGCAGCAGGTTTATGCAAGATGAGTATTTCCTCCCAGGTGGCACTACATATAAAAATTGACATCCTATTGCACCTTCTTCTTTCATTCATATTAAATTTAAGTAGGAAAAAAGGGTAAAAGTGATATGAATTTCAATAATTTTGTTAGAACAAATGTTTGAATTGAAAATTTATCTAGATACCGCCCCCTTAAGCTTTAGTAGTGCATGGGTAGCTATGGGTACTTTTAATGTAGTCAGCGAAACAGTTGGGCTGTCAGTCAGCTTCATCTGCCTTCCTTTACAGTATTTTATCAGGCGTCAATAATCTTGTGATGGAGCATTGCATGTCAGGAGAGTCTGCTCAAGGCTGCTGGGAGTAAATGACGGGATTGATTCTGCTGATGTCCCAAAGTACACAGTAGAAAGATCAGCAGCTCTTGAAGGATGCTAGGGTTTTAGCCCTGTTAGTTACTGTGATTCAGGAGCTGATACTGTGCCTGACACCTGCAAGATGTGTCTTAATCTTGCCTTCATGAGACATGCATGCTATTTACTGTGCTGCTTTTTTTTTTTTTGGTAATTCACCCCGAGCTGCAGCACGGGGATGCTCGCTGCCTCTTAGGTGGAGAGATCAAAAGGTGTCTAAGTTCTCCTGAGACGTTCTGTGTTTGGGGTGGTGGTGATGTCAAATGGAAGAAGTATGGGTCTGCTCACCAAATATAATTTTATTGATCTAGACACGTCACTTTTCTGTGGAAATGGAGAGCTGCTGTAGAAACGAGATCACTTTTGTCCGTTGTAGTACTTTCTGCCAACTCACCCTGTCACTTGATGATCAGTATACTGATGCCTTTACACTGCCTTAAATATAGAGTGCTGAGTGGTGTAGATATTCAAACGACAGAGATCGCAAAGCGAATGCTCCTATTAGATGCCGCATGCTTTTAATTCCCACTCGGTGATCTTGCATCTTGTTCGAACGTGTGTGGAGGAATTAATGATGAAAATGGAATTGAGTAGCATATCTGGTATTGTATCGTAGCTAAATAGAGGGAAGGCAATCTTCCAGAGCAACCAAATATCAGAATATGCAGAGTTGAGTGAGTGCGTGCCTAACACTTTCATGTTCATTGATATAAGAAGGGGAAAAAATAGAAGAATAAGTTATAAACGTGAATAGTTGGGTGTGCACCAGGAGGGATGTTGTTAGATTCATTGCTGGATGCAGACACCTAGCCAGAAAAAAGTTTAGGAGAGTAATATTGTTATGGGAAGGTACACTGCTCTGCTCCTTGCTCCTGTTTAGTAAGCAGGCAAGGTTAAGCGGTTCATTTGAGGTTAGTTTGATGCAGCGCTGTGACACACTGGGATTGCATGGATGAGTGCTTCCAAACAGTCTGACTAATTTTAGTGTGGATAATAGCAAATTTGTAATGCATGCACACAGGCTGAAATGAAAGCAAATTGGAATTGTTTAATTCTGAAGAGATGTTTATTGAATTGCAATAATGTACTTGGGTATACATTAAATTAGTCTGTAATTGAAGTTTTGCTCAATTGACAGTCCTGCCCCTAAACCCTGTAAATCCAAGCTTATACTCTGCTTCTCACGTGCTTTCTCTTGATCAGTTGAACATGAAATCATAGGGGATTTCTTCAACAAAAGTTAAGGTTTAAAAGTGTATCTGTGTATCTTTTTAATGTAAACATCTGTTTGTTTCCCTGTGCATAAGATGCTGTATTGTAGTGTTGAGAAAGGAAAGATTAGTTTACATTTCTCAATATCGAATGATAATATTTGGTAGATACAGAAAGAGTGGTTTTGCTTTGAAACGCACGTACTTGTTCTACACCCTAAATTGGAACAATAGATACCAATTTCAGCAAATGAAGCGATCAGTGAAATTAAACACGCACCACTTTCAGCTGCCCCCATCCAAGTCCTCCCCTTACTTGTCTGTGTGGACCTCTTTACTAAGAAGAGTATATTATTATAAAGTAATTACTGGAAATGTTATACAAAAGTTCATAACTTTACTAGTTTCAAATTATTACAGTATATTTAGTGGCAAGAGATACCTTTGTACTACTGTGAAAATGCTTTTCTGTAGACAGCTATTTGCTGTATATGCTAATACTTTTCTGTCTTCTGACTCTGTTGCAAGGCTTGTATAAATGACAATACATTTATTCTTCTCTTTGCACTCTAGAATCATAATAGTCAAGCCAGAGAAACCTATCATTTCCATCTGTACACCTTACCATCCTTTGGTGCTCCAGTGGAAATAGCTTCTCTCTATTTCTTATCTCTCACTGTTGCACATATAGTAATTTAATACAATTTTGTACAGGGCAGTTTTCAAAAAATTCAGAGAGTCTACGTCTTGCTGTACTGATCACATATGAATAGAATGCTTCTTGTCTGTAATTTTCTTTTTAAGTAAAAGCTGTGTGGCAGTTACTCGTATTCTGAACTAAATGTAGGTTTTGCTTGTGTAAAGATTGTTTAAAATACTGTGGAAATTGGCTGGAATCTTATCATTTAAGGGCTGTACTAATCATAGTGTCCTTCCAGGACACCTGTCACGTTGTTTAAGGTTGCGAATAATCTTTTAAACTCTCTGTGTGTGTATGGAGGTTTGTTGTTGGCAATTGGTTTTCTTCCCGATCGCTTTCAGAGATTCTGGATGCATACATTAATTACTCAATACATAGTGGGAATCTGTGGAGAGCTGATAAAGAGGGAATATTACAGCATCTATAATGTGTTTTTCATGAGCCACTTTTTCTGAGATTTTTCACTCTCAAGGAAGTCCCTTGAAATTATGTTGTTGCTACCTAATGCAAATCCTTTTAAGGTTCATGGCATTTTCTTTGGGTCTGTTCTGCTGCTGCAGCGGTAGCAGTACTCAACAGAGCCCCTCTACAGCTTGCAAGATTTTGTTCTAGTTCTCTTCAGCTTTGTGTTTGTTGATTCTCAAAGAGTTCGGTTAGTCAACGTGGATGAAGAACGGTGTGCTCTTAACTGAGTGGCTTTCTGTCATCCTTGTGATATTTGGGACAACTTGTCTTTTATCAGTCACTCTTTCTTGAGGTTTTTAGATGTGAGAAACTGATGCCTTCAGTGACATCAGAGGGAGAGGTGGTTTCTTTTTCAGAGTTGCTTACTTTTTTTTTCTCTAAATCTTTTCTGATATGATGCTTGTCGCTGTCATTGCACCATCTGTTTATTAACTCACCAGGTACACCGTGGAAACTGCTCTAGTGATCTGAGTCTTTTCCTCATAAGTAGACACTGGAGCTGATCCTAGAGATGTCACGTCAGGTCCTCTGTAGGTTTCCTTGAACAAAACAAGTGCAGTATAAATATGGAAGTATATAATTCAGCATTACATATGTACTCTAGAGTAGAGCTTGTTCCTGAAATGAAGATGTAATTGTCTTCAACATAATTGTTTAGGATGTTCACAGACTCCAAAGTCTTTCACTTCATATAAAGCGATGACTAAAGAGGTGGTGGATATGAAAAAGATTCTTTAAAGTTTTTGTTTGCTGGTTTGCTTATTTTTTTTAAATTTATTTTCATGCCTGATGCATGAATATTTCTATACTCCAGGATATTCATGCCAAATGTACTCATTAAAAGTAATACGATGTGCTTGCCATCATGGGTGGTATAACTGCTGCTTCTGTGGTGGTACTCAAGTCCCCATGCTTCACTCAGGAGATTGGGGGTGTTGGTAAGAAGAGTAGACCCTGTACTGCAACTATCCTCTTTTCCCATCAGGGTGGCTGGAAGACCAAGTCCATTCCCTCCCTTAGTACCCATTAGGAGATAAGCTCAGCTGTGGTATATGTGTGGTTCAGATTTTACTGTTAAAAAAGTATTTTTTTTCTAGTATGCATTAATAAGTTCAGATAGGAATTTTCATGTCTTCCAGCTACTTATCAGACTCATCCAGATCGCAGAAGTTGCTAGGTAGGTTTGAATTCATCTGCCTGAGTAATGCACATTAATCAAGGTCCTCGAAGTTATCACCTTGTGAACAGGAAAAAGTCTCTTGCTGGCGCTACCAGCAGTATCAGTAAAGCTGGGATAGTGAGGGTGCCCCTCAGGCTGTGTGCTATCTCTTCCTCTTTTTTCCAGCTTACATAAATAGATTCAGTCTGCAGAATTTACATGTACTGTACCATGAGAAGTTAAGTATAGATTTGATAAAGCATGTAATGATGTTGCGCTCTGGAACACTACACTTGCACAGAATGGGGTTTGTGAAGGTTATGCTGCCTTTGAAATTACTGAACAAGGGAGAATGGCTTTGCGATTGCAGGGCGTCTGAAAAAGCCACTTGCATTCCTTTATTTCTTTGGAGTCACAGTGGTGTGGGGAATGTAAGACTCCCTTCCTTGGCGTTGGTGCCTGGCTGGTAATTACTCGAACTTGTCATTGCTCTGTTTGATCATCTAGCTCGGGGTAGTCCAATAGCAGTTGCTTTAACTCAGTGTTAATCATTAGGTGGGTGCGTGGTGAGAAAACGGGAGGCAAAGGGATTACAAACACTCCTTTGCTCTCACCAAGAGCTTTAACTCCACTTTCTCTTCTTTCAGTCCAGCTTAATATCTTCCTGTGAAGTGGATGGGGGAGATAGGAAGACAAAACCATTGTTTCATAGAAATGGACAGTTAGTATGAACAATATGTGTTCTTTCAAAAGGAAACATTTTCTCCCAAAATAGAACTGGGAAATGAAGCCATTTCCTTGAAGTGATTAATATATGCTTTATAGACAGGATCCAGTTTTCAAAATTGCACCGAGTGCCGTGCAGACTTGCAGTCATGTTCCAGCACGTGCATTCCTTGTTCCTCATATTTACATTAGTCAACAAGATATAAATTAGGATAAGCATATCCAAGAAGAATATAAAGCTACAGCTGGGGTACAAGGAAAGTTCATAAACTAATGGTCTATTGGCAACTCAATCTGTACTTTTTCCCAACTTTTTTT